TGCTGGTTTCAAGCTATGATGCTTTATTGCATGCCATCTCTTTTGCACACTTTCTGCCTCTCTCATCTATCAAGTATCAAGTAAAATAATCTTCAAAAAGAAAACATATATATATCAGTGGCATAGTTGTAGCTAAAGTATTTGGCTCCATCCCCCTTGTTGTGGTGGTAGCAGGCAAAGTAGCAAAGAAGAAGACTGCTAATTAGCAAACATGAAGTAACCAAAGCATAGGACTAAGGTTAAGTCAATTTTTTTTAATATGATGACTGTTATTAGTCTCACATTTTCTTAAGCAATAGATTATAGTTTTAATAGTTAATAGTTTTCAGACAACACTGGAGGTCTACAGCTAAACCTGGTCCTTGATTCACAGACATTATGATGAGTACATGAAAAGCAGGTATATATCAGGGGGTAAACCTATAGGATAATGTGGAAGATGCATTTCCTATTCATAAATGTAAAAGACTGTTTAAAGGAAAGGCATTCAACAGGTATAAAAATATTAGTTGATAAACCATTATACAGGAACATGCAGCTTAGGTTGATTGGCAACTCTAAAACCTTCTAAGACTGAACAGGCCACACTCAACAACTAGCATGTGAACAGACAGCAAAGAGGATTAGACTCTCAGCCATCGGCTGCCAGGATGGTGCCTGAAATTAGAGTGTCATGCCTAGTGACCTGGTCGACTGGCAACATTTTATTAACCGCCACCCTGTCCGTCAGTTCCCTGATTTGCAGCTCTTACCTAATCAGAGGGCAACAATTATTTATTAGCAGTATTATTGTTGTTGCTAATAACACTAACAATGATTCCATTTAATTCAAGTAGTAAGCCATGACATTGTAATAGCGACCCAGCACGCACAATACCAGAACCCTGAAACTGAAGCTGCTAAATGAATGTCTGTCATCAATAATCTCATTTTTATGCCTGTTTTTTTTATTGTGACATGTCAAAGTATCATGTCAAAGTGTGGAAAAAAGCTTAACAGAAAACCTTCCAGCACTTAACAAAGTTGGTAAATCCACCTTGTAGTTGCAATCATACAACACAACCTCCACAAATACAACAGGGCAGAGTAAAACAAAGAGTCAATTGTGTGAATACATGTGATAATATCTATCCAAGATTAAAGAAGGAAAGAGAGGTCGCTGGTTGTACTGAAAATAAACAAAAAAAAAAGAGCTAAAAGTGGATGTTTCTAAAAGGAATCAGCGACTGTAGTTTCTTTAAAAAGTGACCACAATGCAGCCCAGAAGAAATAAATGCACATGCCAGACGGCAAACAGGTCGACCACAGGATGTTGACAAAGAAACCGGGGCTACTCTGAGGTCCTCCTCTGCTGTTCCACCTCACAGCATGAGTCCAGAACATACAAGGAAATAAAAAGGCCCGTCTTTGATGTGCTGGAAGGATGACAACAGTACAGCTGTCTCCTTGAAACTAAGGGAGAACAACATGGGGAACTCTGTTGTTTGTGCCTTGTTAGTGAAGCTCTGCTGAGATCAAAGGCTCAGGGAAGCTTTAATTAGAGGGTGTCTCAGGTCTCCTATGAACCAGGACCTCCCACGAGGCTGCCGTTTGTGTGCACGGTGTTACCTGGATACACTGAGACACCGTACTGCAAACTTTAAATAGACAGCTACAGCCCCTGTCAGACATGAGATAAGTAACATTGTTGGTTTCACCATCCTGTTAAAGCAACATCCTGTCATTCAGAGATTGGTCACTTTTACGTTCATGTTGCTTACATTCTCATTCAGACATACATACTCACAACAGTGACGGAGAAAGCCACTATACATGTGGCGCTATTTGCCACATGCTTGAAATTAGACAGTACATAAAGTCACACATAATGTATGAGGCCAGAGTTTTCTCACTGTAACATGAACATGTGTTCATTTTTCCTCATGTTTATTTAGGGCATTCTCCAAAACAATCTCACCCACAAAAGCACATAAGAGATATGTGCAGACACTTAGAGAGTTGTGATTGGTAGGGCCACTATATATAATATCTTATGTCAGTACGTTGTAATCTTGTGTGTGCTTATGTTAATGCAGCTGCATGCAGTTCAGACTTGCCCCATGTTGAACGTGATTCTTAAGTGTTACTAGGTCCAACCTAGTAAGATTGTTGTTGCAGCTTTTATGGAAAAGTGTCCAGGGTGCTCATTCAGACATGAAGCAGACAAATGCTGTAAGATTAACGGAAAGGAGTGCATGTCTGAAAGGGGCTTATTACGCAGCGTGAATGGATACTGCAGATTCCTCAGCAACACTGATGCGGGTGGAGCAATCTGGCAGAACACTACTCTGCAGATGGTGAGGGAGTGTCTTCAGAGTTGCAGTAAAACTGTAAATCATCATTGGAGGTAGTCTGTCATCTTGATCAAAGTTTGCTGAGTTAAAGAAGGCAACGAGAGTAATGTGAAAATGACTGTTTCACATCTGGCCTCATTAGTGCAACCAAGCCTCTAAACACTATCAAAAGGAAATGACTGCTGCAACTTCCTGTTTGTGTGTCAGGGTGTGTTTGGGAGAGTATTTAAAGACCACGCCTTCTTACAATCCGATGAAACCACAACCACCATGTTGATTACTTAGTAAAACAAATTTTAAAAAACTTTGCTCTGACTTTCTTCACCTGGAGATTAGATGTTCAGAGTTTGCAGTAAAATGGGTAAAAAAGGAAAGGGACAAGAAGCAGAGATTAAAAAAAAAAAAAAGTTGCACAAGCTAAACTGACACAAAGGCACTCCTCTGAAGAAAAGCCACTTTGTAATTTAGGTCCTGCGGTAAGCTCATTTGACTCCTGCAGCATAGGAGCTCATAATCTGTTGGGGAGTTGTCGTCTTTGTGGTGGAAAAGGCAAGCAGGGGCTCGGTTTCAGTCATGAAGCCACAGTCTTCTGATGGAAGAGTGAAGGCATTATGATCTGAGACTGTGGTGACCAAGGTTCCTCGGCATTTCTCTGATTCACAAAACTAAACCACAGGAGCCCAGCAGAGCCTCATACCATCAAATGCAAAGCTGTAAATATCCTATATATCATGCAAGAAAATATACAGTACTTTGTTGTCAAATGAATGGGTTAACTGAAAGTGAAGGTTCACTACTGCCTGATCTAACCGCTATGGATAATCTGAACTGGGTGTGTTCAAGTAGGTCTTTATTGATCAAAGAAACAACACGTCTGACCTCTTCTAGTGGAGGTCACACATTCGGACTGTAGAAAGGAACTTGAAAACAAAAAGTGAGGGAGTTACAGCAGTTAAAAAGAGACTTCATGAATGTCAAAGGATGAGATGGAGAAATACTGTTTTAGACAACAGAAGACTACAACTACAGTCTTGTATTTTACTGCAGTTAGCAACAAATGAGTCCAGTTTGTCAGCTGTTCCAAGGTGAATAAGGCCAATGTTTAATTTTGGCCAAAGAAAGTGTTGCCCTTCCCATGTCGTGCGTTACATCCTACATTTTTCATGACGTTTTGTGCCAATTTGCTGTCAGCAGCTATTGTATTTTAAATATATGACTAGATTTTTTTTTCCATTCTGTTCAATTGTTTTTGAATTCTCCTTCAGCTAAAATATCTAAAAGTAGGGCTGAGCAATATGACCAAAAAATAAAATCTCGATTCAGAGGTTTAATGAATTTTTTCAGTGAACTGAAAAGAAAATATGATTCAAAAATTGTTTTGTTATTAAAACTATATGCCATTCCCCAGAATCTACAAAAGAAAACATCAAAACCTAGCAAGGTTGTTCTTCATTTACATATAAACATATGCATGTGCAACAATAAGAAAAAAGCAGCACTTGAAAGGGTGTCAATATGCATCATTGGTTAAAAAAATCATTTTAAGTAGAATGAAGCATCATGGTGGGCAGCAACTGGACAACTGGATTATTTCCTTATCATTAACTGCTGCAGCCGCCATTGTTCAAACTTGTCGACTGGCAAAACTCTCACATGCACGCTTCTCCAATGAAAGTAACAGCTTATGTTACTGTCTTAACTCTACAGAACTGCTGGTGCTGGAGTTTGAGTGATAGCAGAGGAAGCACTAATCTCGATCTTGCAGTTTAGGCATTTTTCCCATCATTCAAAAAACAAAAAAATCTAAATAAATGAGTTAATTCGATATACTGCCCAGCCCTTCCCCACCACAAAGCACCTCCATTGGAAAATGAATTAAAGACCTCAATGATTACATCATATATGCTTTGACATTAAAAAGTGTCCAGTGTCTTTTTGATGGCCGTAGCAGAAATGAAAAGAATCAGCACTCAATGAACAAAATCTGCGTATGTGTGTATTAGGTCTAAAGTGCCCTGGCAGTCATATTTAGATTTAGTGCAACAGCCAATAACGCAAATAATAGTTAATATTTTCTGCCCTCACCTTCTTGAGTAACCGTGTGGAGTCTTCGCTGATCTGCATGAACCTCATGATGACGTTGTTGAGGTAGATGTCGCTCAGTGTGGCGTGGTCCTTACTCTCCCTCCTCACCTGGAAAATCAAGAGAGTATGGAGGAATAGCTCTGATGGTTTCATTTTTCCTATAAATAAACAGTCACGTGTTACATCAGCTATCAGAGATTTTATAAAAAAAATTAACAAATAGCCTGGTGTCTCATTTACTACATGTTACAAATTAGAATTGGAAAGAAGAAGCATGTGTATGAGAAGCAGTCATGTAAGATGCTTTAATCATTTACTTTTTCTCACTTGTTACATGTGTGATAAATTAATAAACAAGTACACACAATGTTACAGGCGTAAACCTGCTCCACAGTTGGCAGTACTCCACTAAAGATCAGCCATAAACAAATGCTTGTATGTGTTCATGGTTTGCTTCAGTATATCTGTATTCATGTCAATGTCTGAGCCCTAGTTTCTGAAGACAATATTTGTCATTTTCACAAGGAGACTGTGACAGGTCGTCTACAAGCAACATCTCAACTGCGCCAGGGCCTGCTACTAAAGTGGAAGAGGGATGTGTCATTGCCCTCCCTTGGTTTTAAATGTCCCATATGCAGCTGGTTCTAGGTCTAAAAATCTCCACATATTACAAGAACTACACAGTTTAAAATATTTTGTATCAGTGACTTTTCTGGGGCAGAGCTCTTTGCAATGTTCTAAGTTCCAAGCTGATTTCCTGCAAGTAGGGAAGAATGTGCCACACCCTTTATTTAAATACACTTATGCTGCGTTTCCACGATCGGAACCTGACGAGTGGTATACCGCATACTTCTCTTAACCATCCTGCTTTGTTTTTCAGCTGTATTTTCTCTCTGTTGGTCTCTGTTTAGAAGACGGAGGGGCTGCTCCTCTCTCACACATACAGCTGTGTGTTTATATACGGCGCTTGTACTGCTAATGCTTGAGGTGTGAAGATGCAGACATTTATTCAGTCATTGAACACTGCTCTGCATGCATGCCCCCACCTCGCATTTTAGTTCTACCTCCTTAGGGGTGCTGAAATTCAGCTCCCAGAATGCACCTCCATAGCAGGCGAGTGTAGTGGAACCAAAAACACAAAACCTGTGACAAGCATCACTTGGTGCGATGTGTTACGGTAGGTTCCTGTAATGGGAAAAACCCCTTTAGTGGAATGAAGTTGAGAAGCCATGGTTGTGTTTTAAGTGAAGTTGAGAAGTAGAATTACATAGTAACCGTAGCAGTGTCAGGGAAAAAAGGCAGAGTAACAGTAAAGGCGAAGATAGAGATCTGAGTGCAAAAGTGCTAAAGAGCCAAAAATTGGTGGAGCCCAAGCGCTGTTTGTTTCCTGTACTGTGCATCAACTGCTTCCAAGTTGACTGCGGGACACTGTCCAGACCAGAGCGAGCAGGGGCCCTGCATAAGCACAGGGTGGCAGGCTGACATCCTTTGGGTTAATCTGTTACACTTCTCCAGTATACACAGAAAGAGGGGGTATGACTTTGCATGTGTGTTGGGAAGAGGTTTTCAGGTTTGGACTGGGGTCAAGTCCTGCAGGAACCATATGGAGACTCGCCTCCGCTCTCCCCTCACAAAATTAGGCTGCACAGACAGGCAGCACTTGTCAACACAACAGGTTAAACTCTGCACTTGGTAGGTGACCCAGCCCTGAACTAGCTTTCAGCTCTGGCACCACATCTGCTGCAAGAGCAAAAATGAAGCATCACTCCAAATGAATAAATGATACAGACATTCCAACCAGCTGAAATGTTCCCTAAGCTGTTGCAAAAACAGGAAACAAATTGCATTTGATAAAGACAGAGCCAAACATGCTGACATGAAAAACACTCAAGAACATTCAAGAGTGCTAGAGAGCAGAAGAGCAATTGGGGAAAAAAAAAAAAGATTTAGCTTGTGTGTGTACGTGTGAGAGAATGTGTGTACTGCTGCCACATGCCCAAGTTACAGAACATGTGCAAAGGAAGAGAAAGCCAGAAAATAAAGAATATATGTGGTTCCAGAGCTACAGCACATGCTGGCTCTGTCAAAGAGCCATTACCATAAATCCGTTCTGCATTATGTATCAGCATGCAGTGCAACCCTTCCATTCTATGGCACTGAATATGGATATGTGATGACAGCTCATGTGTGTGTGTGCACATGTGCATATGTGTTTATTAATTCCAGCAATTCCTACTTTTACACATGCATGATGACCAGGTGGACAATGACATGAATCTGGACATAGTACATCATGAGCCTCTGCAAAAGTGTACAGAATAACCTCCCAATTATCAACAGCAACCTTTTGCTTTTTCTAGCTACTCCTGTTTATCTGTGAGTATTTCATCCTGGGTGTTAAAAAAATGAAGCCAAATTGATTGGGGATGCAAAATGGCTGACATGAAAGCAGCCTATTGGCAGGATTAGTCAGAGAGTTTTCAGTCAGCACTTGACATGCCTGACCTGTTTTCTTCTTTGCTTCAACTCAGCTTAATCCTCAAAGCAGAGCAGAACTACTCACAATGCAAAGTTCAACCTAATTCAACACCAGAACTACGGTGATACAATATATGTGCCCGTCTTTTGTATGCCAAATAACAGACTTGTAATAGAAATAACAGCACCATTCTTTCACATGAAATCCTTTTTTAAATGAATGTTGACATCACACATAGCACTGACTCAGAATTCTTTACAAAACAGACAAAGAACAAAATAAAGTGGCATCACACAGTGGAACTGGTGAAATTACAGAACTCTGGGGGAAGTCAATGATGTACCCAAGTCTTCCCTTAAATACATCAACAGTTCCTTGAGAACCTTCTATGTGTGTTAATGGGCTGACCTATTAAATCAAGCTGGAGGCTTGCAGTGAAAAGAAGGCAGTATGAGAAAACAAGGAAAGGACTAACACAGGCCATGACAACAAAATAACCACCTGGAGTTGCTTATTCCACATAATGGCAGGAAAATCTCTCAGTGTCATCGTTTCCCTCTCAGCCAGTGCAGGAACTGGGTCAAACAGACTTACAGACAAATATACAGGCCCCTAAGGGACATAAACAGGTAGGGAAGAGAAACTAATGTTCAAGTGGAGGAGATGAATGAAAACAGCGAACATATTAGCACTATACTGCCTCCTGTCAGTGTGGGTACATGTGTGTCTTCTGTCCATCCATGCAATCTAAATCCTGGAGTCACTGGGTCAGTCTCAACATACTGGAGCATACAGCATGCAGACAATGAAGGATAATTACCATATTAGTACACATGGCATCACAACAAGGGCCCTTATCAACCTCAACCACAGAGGCAAAAAAAACAAAGTCCTCTAGTGCCGTACTGATAACATCTTTCATTGATGAACTGTGGTGGCGGCCTTTATGTTGTAGCTGCAGTACAGTGAGTGACATTCACCTGCAATGTAGTCACACAGCCACTACCAAAGACAAAGTGATCGCTCCAAGTCCTAACTGGACCAAGCCTACAGAGAATGTGAATTTCTTGTCACATCCTGTTGAATTTTGGGTAAATGTGCCATTTTGGAAGATCACGTTCATAATCCATCATAGAGGCATAAAAACATACATATACAAGTTAATTTTAAAAAAGAGATACTGCAGCTACATACAGTAGTGGATGCTTCAACTGCATCCAAACATCCGCTTTAGTGTTCACTTTGTGCACAGACTGGACAGAATCTGATTCATCTGCAGTGTTTGTGTCATCTGCTGACAGCTTTAGCTCCCGAACTGAGAGCTGAGATCAGGGCTCAGAATCATTTTTCAGTGTGTCGCTCTTGTTGACAGGATCACTAGGTCAGTCAGCGACAACCAGTTAAGGTTACCCACAGCCAGTAAAGTGTGATGTAAACAACTTAAGCAAGTCTTTATCCAAAGAAAACAAGAATGTATGCAGGTAAACACAGCACATATGTCCCAAAATGGCGCCCTGCCCCAACATTCAATATGGTGCGAGTACCTTTACATTCTCTATTGCGTTTGTGTTAAGGATATTTGAAATTTAAAAGCATGTAACAGGGTGCCAAAGCACGTTCAATCATTCTGGTTGTTCAAACATAAACCGTGTTAAATTTAAGTTAAATGAGAATGTTTATTTTTATTTGCCCTCAAGCTCAATGCACTGCAGATGATGATGCCTGGCAATATATAATATGCAGCCTCAGCATGTTGCACACCTTCAGAGACAAAGACAGGAAGTCCTTTAACCCTGAACTCAATTCCAGATAAAAGCAGCCTATTTAAGATGAGATCAGCTGGGGCTTTGGCTATATAAATAATTCAGTGGTTCCTCTGCTCGCCATCTCCGTGTCCCTCCCTGAACAAACTATGTATAATACACTGCCTGGTTTTGTGTGGGTGTGTGTTCGCGTGTTAAAGAGTGAGAGTCAGAGGAGAATGTTTGCCCATATTTGTTCATTTGTGTGTGTGTGTGCATGTGTGTGCTCTGCAAACAAACACTGGAACGCAAATGGATTAGGCAGAAAGGACTCAATGGCTCTGCCACGGACTGCTGGTGTTGGGTGGACACTGATGTGGGTCTCTTGTCTTGTTTTCTCACAAAAAGAAAAAAGGAAGACACTAGTGGGCACCACTGGAGCTGGAACTATTAAATTTAACTCTGACCCTTTGCAGTTTTTCCATCATTGCACAGTGTGTTAGTTTCTGGTTGTAATGAGGAGAAAAAGCCAAATTTACAGCAGAAACAAGTAACGATCTGTCATATTTAATTATGAAGCATCACGAGCGAGGCTTGTGCCCGTCTCTGTGGCATGCGTGTATTCACTGATGCAGTGAAAGTGCTTGGTGTTCAAATAGTGTAGAGAAACACCTTGGAGAAGGGAATCTACATCCAAATCTCAAGATAGTACAGAGTGAGGGTGTAACCGGTTACACATGAAATGCATTTATATGTACAGTGTATCCAGCCCATGCTAAAACACAGCACACACAAACTCTTTAAAAAGAACAGTGTGCTCAGTAGTAACAGACATTCTGTTTGTTACCTATTGCACCTGCTTATATTTGAAGAAGTACACATATTGCACTTCATTTTTAGTTGGAGGCTAAGAAAAAAGAGTGAGAGAAAGACAGAAATGTAAAACTTTAATACGTTTTATTTTTATTACACACGAATTTTTCACTAAATAGAAGTTAAAAATGTCTGTGTATGCTGTCAGTTACAGTTGTTAGAAAGAAAGAAAATCGGAATCAGCAGCTCAGGCTCAGAAATCGGCCAAGAGAATTGCAATTGACACATTTCCAAGACAAAACTGCTGTACTGATATGTACAGGATCCAGGAATAAACACTATTGTAAATATAAAAATTGGATTTATTTTTCAGTAGACTATTTTTAAAGTGGTATGAGACAGAACCCGGTCACAATGTCTGTACTGTTAGTGTTTAAAACATCCATCTGCCACTACTGTCTTGTACCAGCTGCACCAGCAATACAAAAGACTTCCCCAGAAGCAGTGAGCTGGTGCAATGCTCCCACAGGTGTCACAGAGTCTGAGCTTTCTGACAAATACCGACTTCATTTCACCTCCTGAAGAGGATTATGGACTGAACTCATACTGTGCCAAAGCTTTTCAGCTCAAATAAACATAAGAAAGACTGAGGCAGATTTAGACTTGGGTAAAATATATTAACAAAATATTTGCCTATCACAAGCAGAGACCAGTATGTGGCTAGTTGTGCACCGCAGTTAACACAAGTGACAATCTTTGCAGCTGGGTGGGAAGCCAGTGTGGGATCATGTCTTTGTAACTTTAATAGCAGCCTGATCTGTACAGAGGTGGGTGGCTCCATGGCAGGATCGTATCAACCCCCACCTGTGTTTTGCCCTATTAGTAAAGGTTCTTATTTGCAACAGAAACATATACTCCATATGTGTCAAGAGGAGGCCTGTGGCCACCTACAGGGGAACAAGACATTTTCTAAATACGGGGAAAAGGGGAAACATGTCACAAATAATGCAAAATTAAAATAGTCTTAACCAAAAGAATAACGTCTTGTCAACTTGTCGGAACATCAGTTATGGAAACCAGATATAAAACTGCAGCTCCAGTGACAG